TTTTTGATAGATTTTTACATCTTGTGGTCCTTAAATCCGTTTTGACCATTTTTGCGATGATGTGTGTGTATATCCACGATAATTCAAAAATGGATTAAACTAAATTTTAAACTGTGGTGAGCTGATTAGATTTTGGGCATTGTCAAAGCATTCATTATTGGGGATAGGTCATTTAAAGGGGATTGTTTTTCTACTTTTAGGTATATTCCTGTTATTTAGCATTAGAGAATAACATTCTTTGAATAGAGTTTTATTCGATGTCATTCTCTATAAATTTTATCATATAGTTCCGCTTCATATGGAATGTTTTTTTTTTATTATTTACTTTGCGCAAATTTAGGTTTATTTAAAATTTGTGCTTTTAAAATAATAAAAATGACGTTGACAATTTTTTTTGTCGATCACTTATACCTGTAATTTGATATCTTATAAAAAAAAAAATTCAATAAGTTATAGGTTATTTCTCAAAATATCGAAAAATGTTAAATCAAAAAAGTATGATCGTTCGGATTTTGTAAAATTGAATTAGCATGAACTTTAGGTTTTTAAAAATCTGATTTATAACACTTTTTAACACAAAAAAATTTAAATTTAAGTATCCAAATTCGCTTAAATTTAATAGATGGATAGAAAACTTAATCAGAATTAACTTTTTTATTCAAGTAATTTTTTTGAAACTTTGAGAAATACCCTGAGTTATTGCAATTTTTTGAAAATATGTCAACTTTTACAGGTATATGCGATCAACTAAAAAAACTCGTGAACGTTATTTTTTATTGTTTTTGAAGTACAAAATAATAGGTAAAAATAAATCCTATAATGTGATATTTAACGGTGACACACTACAATAATTTCTCTAAAATGGGCCGTAATGTAGATCAAATTCCACAACAAACCATTCACTGGCAGAAGGAGAACTGAAATTGGGCTGGCTGAATAACAAACCCAGGTATCCTTTGGTGCCCTCAACCATACGGTTATTTCATGATTTACCATTTACAAAATTCTCATTTCCGGAAAAACGGCCTAGTTAATAGAAATTAAAATAAATGCCAACATAATAAGGGCCATTTAAAAATATTTTTATTAGCATATGGCATACTGCAAATTGCTGTAATAAAAATTCAATTTTTTATTTATTGCTATCTCTAATAAGTGACCTAGTAAATAGAATAAAATATTAAAATAGAAAAGAATAGTATGAACATGATTACTTAGCAAAAATGTCAGCCATACTTCATTGTGCGAGCCAATATGGGTGAAAAGTAAATTAACAAAATTATTGAAAAATATTGTATACATCCAAAAATTTTAGTCCAAAAGGGAAATTTCCAGTCTACCGGCAACACTGCCACGTCGTATCTGTTTCAAGTTGCAGATCAGATTTCGAATCAAAAACTTCTTTTACCATTTGACCCTTGACCAAGCTATCTATAGCAAAGTTGCTGGTTCAATTTTTTTTTTTAATAATTAATCGAACTAAAAAGTAAAAAATAAATATAGTTAAACTAAAAAACACGCTTTTATAATACATCGAACTAAAAAGTGAAAAATAAATATAGTTTAAAAAAACTAAAACACACGCTTTTAGAGCATATCAAGCTAAAAAGTTAAAAATAATTTTTCAAATAAGCTTAAAACAATAATAAATGGAAAATACTAGTATTATTGTGAAAAAAGCGTGGGGCGCTTTGTCCATATTTCTCGTACATCGAGCGCCCTTCGCTTTTAAGCTTATTTGAAAAATTATTTTTAACTTTTTAGTTTGATATGCTCTAAAAGCGTGTTTTTTAGTTTTTTTAAACTATATTTATTTACTTGGAACACCGTATTCGATTTAATTTACTGAAATGGGCATACTAGCGTAATCTATGAACATAATAATATTCTTTTAGTATATTTAAAATTGAGGGCGCTGGCCAAGCCTTAACTATTTTGTCTTTTGCCTATTTATACAGGGTGGTCCACCGGTAACGCCTCGGTCTGTATATCCAAAACTAAACTTTTTTTAAAAAATCGGTTCTTGCGATGAGATGTATATCAGAAAAGGCAACAATTTAAAAATAATTTCAATAATACAGGGTGCTCCAGGAAATTGGAATATATCAAAGTTAGGTTTTTTTAATCGGGACACCCTATATTTTATTGCATTTTTGAATTCTACAAAGAAAATTAATGTAACTTTGTTAAGTGGTTGTTATACCTAGAGTCTATCATTTTTGATATATTCGAGGATTTTCAAAATTTTGGGGTGTTTAGAAACTGCAAATATATCCTACATTTCTTAATATTTCAAAGTGATTTTTTTAAGGTACATTAAGCGTCTTCTGGGCTGTAACCTCAAATACTTACTAATCAAAAAAATCGTATAGGGTGTTTACGAAATAGATATTTATTTTATGTAGATTTAAACACCAAAAACTTCGTTATTTTAAATAGAACACCCAGTATTTTTTAACATTATTAGAAATATATTTCGAAAACCTTTCAAACAATATACATAGGTATTCCCTATACCTATATGTTGTTGTTTTAGAGAATAGTCTAGTTCTTATAATTTATGTAAATAATTCATTAATTTTAGTTTAGTGTCTGGGCATTGATTGTCAATTTATGTCATTTTAATTTAAACTATGCAAGAAATGGTGGATATGATTCTCACCATAGGTGAGTGTTATGAAAACTGTTTTTTAGCAACACGGGTTTATGCCCAAAAGTATCCAGACAGAAATCAACCGGATCAGAGAACTTTTGAAAGAGTTTTAGAACGTTTTCGTACAACAGGCAGTGTTGCATATTCAAAACAAACTGTGAGTAAACCCGTAGTTGATAATGAAGACAACGAATTTCTAGTATTAGGTTCAGTAACGGAGAATCCTCACATTAGCACCAGGGAAATTTCGAGGCAAATGGATATACCTAGAACCAGTGTAATGAGAATTCTCATGAAATACCGATTCCACCCTTACCATATCCAATTTCATCAACATTTATATATTACTGATTTTCAACGACGCATAGATTTTAGTTTATGGGCGCTAGAACAGGTAGGAGAAAATAGAGACTTTTTCGATTTTGTTTTATTTACAGACGAATCCACTTTCCATAACAATTGCTTAGTAAATCGCAATAATTTCCATTACTATATGATACAGAAAATCGGCACCTATTTAGAACTATTGACCGACAAAACAGATGGAGCATAAATGTTTATGGGGGGATTATTGGAGAGAAAGTTATATGCCCATATTTTTTTAATAGTCATCTAAATGGAAATAATTTTTTGAGGTTCCTTCGTTCAGGTTTTTGGCTGCTTCTCGAAGATATACCATTGAACGTACGGCAACAAATGTGGCTACTATTAGATGGTGCTCCTTCTCATTTTGCGCGGGACGTGAGAAATTACTTAGACCGGAAATTTCCTAATAAATGGATAGGAAGAGGAGGCCCATGCCATTGGCCACCTAGATCACCCTGTTTAATACCCCCAGACTTTTTTTATGGGGTTACATAAAAAGTCTTGTATACAATACCCCAGCAATCACGCCAGAAGATATGAAGGAACGAATTTGCAACTATTACGCCGGATATGCTAAAAATAGTAAGAAATTCGTTTGAACGAAGGATCACAATGTGTATTCAAGAAGACGGTCATCATTTTGAAAATCTATTAAATTAATTTATTGTCTTGTATTATTTTGTAATTCGTGTTTAAAAAAAAATGTAACAATGTTAGTAAAACTATCACAGATAGGTATAGGGAATACCTACATCGTTTGAAAGGGTTTCGAAAGATACTTCAAATAACGTTAAAATATATTTGGTGTTCTATTTAAAATAACGAAGTTTTTAGTGTTTAAATCTACGTATAATAAATAGTATTTCGTAAACACCCTATATAATATTTTTTATCAGTAAGTATTTGAGGTTACAGCCCAGAAGACGCTTAATGTACCTTAAAAAAATCAATTTGAAATATTAAGAAATGTAGGATATATTTGCATTTTTTAAACACCCGGAAATTTTGAAAATTCTCGAATATATCAAAAATGATAGGCTCTAGGTATAACAACCCCTTAACAGAGTTACACTAATTTTCTTTATAGATTTCAAAAATTCAATAAAATATAGGGTGTCCCGATTAAAAAACCTAACTTTGATATATTCCAATTTCCAGGAGCACCCTGTATTATTGAAATTATTTTTAAATTGTTGCCTTTTCTAATATACATCTCACCGTAAAAACCGATTTTTTAAAAAAAGTTTAGTTTTGGATATACAGACCGAGGCGTTACCGGTGGACCACCCTGTATATCTGATTTAATTTTATTTGTGGATACTCTAATGTAGTGTACTGAAGACATCAAATGAATATTATCATGTCGTAATTAAAAAGGTTTAAAATTTAATTGTATACAAAAATTTTATGTACCTACGCCCGTTTGGGATTTTTTTTATTTTCTAAATAGCATTAATAAGCGAACAAAAAGTTTCGAAAGACTGTCACAGTCATTCACAAAATTCGTCAATACCGATTTCCTATTATAGCGTGAGTTTATAACAGTAACCTAGTTGCAATATACAATATATTATATTATGATAGAAATAGCTATAAAATGTTGGAATCAATCATTCTCTGCGATAGAGCAGTGGCGTAGTCTTTAGTATTAAATTGGAATAAGTTATATTGTGCTAATAATGGTTTTAAAAATAAATTTAAATGCATTTTTAATTAAGTTTAGTGTAATATTGTCTTACTTTGCTCAGTAACAAAGTAAAAAAAAAAACGATTGAAGAATTTTCTTTAATTGGTACAAATTCCCCTTTGATCTACAAATTTTTGTTCAATATTTTTTCTTGAAACTTTTGTTTTTTCCTCTATTACTTATACGAAGTTTTTAAATAAAAATGTGTTCGGATTATGTTCATAAATTACAATTACTGCTAGATGAAACTGCAGCGATAAACAGTAACAGAAGTATAATCCGATGCTTACTTACTTTTCGTGTCTGGAAACACATTTTAATCGGAGTTCTTCCAATACTCTGCCACGTTAACTTTATTACTTGTAGTTCGTCTTGCTAATTGTGTCTAAAAGTGGCTACACCGGACGGACGGACGTACCATCCCCAACACGAATTTAACAGAATTTAAGGATAATTTTATTTGCCATTACTGACAATAAAAGTAAAATTCAATTTGTAGAAAAATGCTATACGAGGTATGAGTCAGAAGTAATGAGAATAATTGAATAATTAAGAATAGATAATATTGTCCCCTTCAAACAGATATTAAGATTTTCAGCTATTTTTACCATTAAGATTAATTTTCGTTTTAAAATTTGACACTAGATCCTCAAAACTTTAAATAATATCGAGGATAATATCGACCTTTTCAAATCTATCGCTTAATTTATTAGAAGGTTCGAAGTTTTTTAGGGTTCCGTATCTGAACTACCCGAAGAGTAACCAACGAGACCCTATTATTTAGCCTCGGCTGTCCGTCCGTCTGTCTGTCAACGGGCTGTATCTCATGATCCGCAATAGGTAGACAGTTGAAATTTTCACAGAATGTTATGACAGCAAATAATCAGGCCCGCGCCTAGCACTTTTGGCGCCCTTGTGCAAATTTAAAATAACGCCCCAAATTTGTATTACGTTCATATGTGAGTACAGATAAGAGTTAAGTTAGGTACTATTATCCCCTATTGAAAAATAAATTTAAAAAGTATTTTTATAAATTTATTTTCATTTTTATATTTTACAAGTACAAGCCATACAAGTACTTTCTCATTCAGGTACATAACATAATTATAAACTTATAGAAAACAGAAATATTCTAACAGTATTATAACTCAAAATTTTTGCTTGATCTTAAATATTTTTTTTTGTGTCATCGGCATCGACTGCTACACGGCCATTAGCCTCCTGTTCTGTGCAGGCTTTGTTACTGTTTCCCAGCGCCACTTTAGGAACAGCACTGTTAATTAGAACCCAACAGTGAATGGTCGAGTGGGGAATCCTACCAAGGCATCAGAATTAATTTTAAATAATTAAATTAAATTAAAAAAATCCCGGCCAACGGTGGGATTCGAACCTGGGACCCTTGGATCCACAGGCAGTGACTCTACCACTGAGCCACCCACCCCCTAATAATTTTTTTTTATTATTTTGAGTTTTGAAAAAGATCGTTCTGCGGCATTGTTAATAAAATACGAAGTATTATGCTCGTATTAGGAAAAGAATCCACTAAGTTGTTAATTGTTATATAATTTAGTTTCTTCTGGAGACGTAATAACTTTTTCATCAAAATTTTGTAAATATTACAATTCCTTAACAAATTCCACGGCAGTTATGTCTCGTTCATTGTGAGTTTTGTCATTTTATAAATTTTCAACTTTTTGTCATAATTCTAATTGTTCATTTTCAGAATAATTTTTAAATTTATCAATATTCCATAAAAACGCGAAATTATTAGAGTAAGAAGAAAGTAATTGGAATCTCTCATCCACTGATGATTACATCTAGAGCATTAAAAAACAATCAACTTTGAACTTTAAAGTTTCGTCGTGGATCGGTTCATGGTTTCATTTATAATCAAAATGTTTTTTTATTTTTCGCGGTTTTAGACATCTTTGTTTTTTGAATTTAGGTTCTATGTCTAAGTTGGATGATATTTCTTTAGCATTAATCAATAATAGATCATTAAAACCTTTATCGGAGCGGTAAGCTTTCAAAAAATTATTCAAATTATTTAAATGATTAACAATGTTAACTTTACTTAAAATATTATACCACAATTATACCACAATATGGCATTAGAGAAAACACAGCACTTGTTATCGAAGATGCTTATCACCCTTCATTACATATAGATCTTAATAAAATATACATTAAATAGGACAAGTTAGACACAAATATTAATGAAAACATGTACAACTTTAAAATTGCTATCACTTGTTATATAATGCTCTATTACTTGTTGACTGGCACTTCCTTGCAAATTTTGATAACTCTAACCTAGCAGTGGAAAGTTTCTATAATAAACTCTATGAAATTATTGATGCTTATGTTCCACTTAAAAGAAATTTTAAACATAAATATCCAGTATGGTATATAATAAATTATAAATCTAATAAAGTACAAGGCTAAAATACATAGGAATTTTAAAAAAACAAGCAATATTGCTCACTACCAGGAATTCAGTAGACTTAGAACATTAGTTAAACGAAAAAATACTTTAGCATATTCACGTTACCTGGAAAATGTCCAAGCCTGCTGTAAATGAGCCTAAATCTTTTTGGTCCTTTGTACATCAAAAAAATAATAGTTCAAGAATTTCTGAAACAATGTATTGTGGTGAGGAATCATATAATAATCCCCAAGATATTGCAAATGCTTTTGGAAATTTTTTTGAAAGTGTTTTTTCTTTGGCAGATCCAGATGATGAAAGTCTAAATTTTAACTTTCACAATGGTAATCTGATTGATATTAGTTCAGAACCTATATCTGAAAAAGAGATAATTGATGCTGCTCGTAAATTAAAAAATAAATTTACTTCTGGTCCTCATAAAATTCCATCATTTTTATTAAAAGATCGTATTAGAGTTTTAATCTATCCCATCAAGACACTTCTTAACCTAATTTTAAAAACGTCAACTTTTCTAGATAGCTGGAAAGTAGCTCAAGTGTGTCCTACACAAGTCTGAAAATCGTAATGTGATTAACAATTATAGGCCCATATCTATACTGAATAACGCAGCGAAAGTTTTAGAGTCAATCTTGTATAACCGCATATACCTCACTGTAAAAGACACTATTTCCAATCACCAGCATGGTTTCATGAACTCGAGATTCACAATAAGCAACTTAGCGACATTTAGTCAATACTTATGTAAATCATTAGATAGAAGAGGTCAGGTTGATGCGGTGTATACTGATTTCTCCAAGGCTTTCGACAAAAACAGTCATATAATACTTCTTAAAAAGCTACAATGCTTAGGCTTCAATGTTATGTACCTTTCATTATTTAGATCTTATCTATACCAAAGAAAGCAGCTAGTGGAGTTCCTATTATTTAATTAATATTCGCTAATGATTTCAAATTATACGCATTTATTTCTACTTTCATGATTGTGTGGTATTAAAGAATCAGCTGATTTATTTAGAAAATTGATGCCCCAAAAATAGATTATATTTGAATATTAATAAATTTAAAGTAATAACTTTTTCACGTAAATCAAATACTATACACTACCCATATTCGACAATGTAACACTGGAACGTACTGAAAATATCAGGGATCTTGGAATTATTTTTGATAACCAATTGACGTTTAATAATCATATTAACCAAATAGTTAAATCAGCTTACCGTGCATATGGATTCGTTTGGAGAAACTGTAGAAACTTTAGAAATATTTCGCCTTTAACATCTCTCTACTTTAGCTTGGTTAGATCTAAATTAGAATACGGATCTTTAATTTGGAGTCCCATATATTTTCAGTATATGCTATTGATTGAGAAGATTCAAAAGAGGTTTCTCAAATTTTTACAATTTAAAATTGATGAAGTTTATCCTATTAGAGGTATGGACTACGATATTTTACTAAATAATATTGATTTTGTTTCTTTAGAAAAACGTAGAAACCAGGGTTCTGTTTTATACTTACATAAACTCTTAAATAATAAAGTTGATAGCGCTGAATTATTATATAAGTTTGATTTTCAAGTTCCTAGATTGACTTCTAGGCATAATATACCATTTCAATGTAAAAGAGCTCAAACAAATTTAATGCAAAAAATCTCCAACAAATTTTATGTGTAGTAATGCTAACAAGTAATCTGAATTTTGTGATATCTTTTGCTATACCATATGTGAACTAAAAAATAAAACTCGTGCACACCTTTGGTTATTTTTTTTGTTTTTTGGCTTTTTTTGGTTTTTAGTAGATATAGCATTATTTTGCTAATAATATTTGAGAGTTTATTTTATTCTATATTTAAATTCTTAACTAAATAGTTTAAATAGGGCAATTTTTTTGCAATATTTAATGTACTAATCTGTAGTGCTGTACTGATATTAAAATTTAATTTAACTTCTATTCTTAAGTTTTTGTATTTGCTCTGTAAATGGTTTATACTGTTGGGCAATAAACGCTATTATTATTATTATATTATTATATTATTATAAGAATGCAAATGAACTCAAAATTTTGCAATTTTTTGGCCAACGATGCAGCCAAATTTTTTACGTTATTTTCAAACTTTCTTTCACTTATTTCAAATAGAGCATCATAAACCTCCCCAAGTTGATACCTTAAAGGAGTTATTGCATTTATTCTACTAGACCATCGAGTATTCGATAAAGGTTTTAGAGTTAAATTTGTTACTTTAGATAAATTTGATTTTAGAATTAACCAGCGTTTAGTAGAAGCTGAAAAAACACAAACAGTTCTTGAACTAAAAATAAAAATTCATGCTCAAAGCATTTGATTTTGCGGCATCATTGGCGACTAAATTTAGGCTATGATTGCAACAAGGAACAAAGAAAGCTCGCGGATTTAAATCCAATTTTTTTTTTGTAGACCCTTATGTTTACCACGCCTACTTGACCCATTGTCGTAATCCTGATCCCGCAAATCGTTGATATTTAAGCCTTCTTTCTCTAACGCCGACAAAAGAAATTTTGTCAAGCCTTCACCCGACACATCATCTATAGGACAAAATAATAAAAAATGTTTTTCTATACGAGCGTTACTCAAAGTGTGGTCCGCGGAGCCCTGGGGCTCCGCAATGCCTTTATGGGGGCTACACGAAGAAAATAATAGTTATAACAAAAAATAGTATACGATTTTGGTATTTTGGTTGGAGGACCTGGCAAGAGGCTAGAGCAAGGAGGATTTTGCTCGAAGGTCTTTTTTTTAGAAATGTGTTTAGGGCTCCGTCAAATATTTCGCTTTTCAAAAAGGTTCCGTCACCAAAAAAGTTTGAGAACCACTGTCATATACTAATTCCCGTGCTCTTTATATGCGACGATGTTTATACCAGCAAA